AGAAGAAGAAGAAGTATTCATAAAGAGAAAAAGAGAGCTGGACAGAGGAAGAGAATGCGAATCAAAAAAGAAGAAAAGAGAGAGAGAGAGAGAACACTCGTCGATCACGACGAGATTAAATTTCTTATCGATGTTTAATGCCTTGCGAAACATCAAGGATTCGTTTCTCGAATCGAATCCGACGCCTTTTTACTACCGTCCCTTTTCGAACTCGTCCTACAAAAGAAAAAGATAGAGAAATGCATTGATATACATTACGAACCACTCCGATCTTCTCTTTTCTCTACTTTTATTTTGTAGACATCAATGACCGTTATACGGTCGGCACGTGAATCCTGCGCAACATCGATGGATACCGATCGACCCGGTCAGGAAGAAAAACGAGAGATACGCAAGGCCGGTCTTCACATTGGGTTCGTGTTTCAAGATAGAAAACCAAGTTGATCTTCTTCCAGGGCTTTTACGATATATAAAACTGCATTCAATGCAACTTCGAGCTAAGGTTATATACCCCGTAGATGTTCACACGACTCCGACACTTGCGCACGCGCACGCGCACGCGATTCTATATACGTCCATACGATTTCTTGCTCGTTTACTCCTCGCAACTACCTTTATAGTTCATTGCCTTCCATAGCACAGATATCCTACGGGATTAGGAAAAAAGAAAGAGGTAAAAGAAAGTCAAGAGTCAATTTCCTCGAATGAAAATGTTTCGTTGAAAATAGCTAGCTAGCTAGATCTCTTCGTCCTACCATCCTATTTTCCTTTTTCTCTCTTATCAACATTATAATTTTTTCTTCTTCTTTTCGCTTGTTTTTTTTTTTCTTTTTTTTTTCTTTTAACTTTGCGATCGCGACACGAAGCAAGATGGCAAAGTATAAGTACGATGTCATAGAGATCGTGAGATCGTTCGTGAAAAATTCTTAGTTAAATTACTAGGAGAATATTGTCTAGTGCTTACGAGTTTTTCTTTTAACTTACTTTTATTTTATTTTATTTTATTTTATTTTATTTTATTTTATTTTACTTTATTTCATTTTGTTTCTCTTACTTCTTTCTTCTTCCTTTATATACCTATTTTTTCGCGTTCTATTTTTCCGGCAAAGCTCTCGATTACCGTAGGATTTGAATTTGTCAAGCGGAAAAAAGAAACGCACGATGTTACTTCACCGAGTCTAGATGGACTTAGTACTATCCACGATTTTCTTTTCGTAGATATCGAAAGAGATCCCTTCTCGCGTACTATCGTCTTATACACTTAAACAGTTCTATGTATTCTTATCAAACCAACCTGCCGGTCATTCAATGATAATACTAGCGAATAGGTATAGTCGACTTTCTATTTCTATCGCATACAAATAAGAGTCTTACCTTTAAAATAAACGAACAAGAAATATTTCTGATATCGATTTTCGATAAAAATGTGTCGATAAGTTTTAAATTAAAGAAAAAAAAAACAATTTCGGACAAAAAGTTACTTTCTCTTTTCAACGTAACGTTATAAAGGATAAAAAAAAAAAAGGAAAAAAAAGGGGGCTTCTTTTTCTCCACTGGACGATTTCCAGCGTGTCGAGTCATTCGTAAAGATAAGAGGAATCAGGATGAAAACGATCGCGAGTTCGAACCACGAGAGTGGCCCATCGATTTGAACGATAAAACGTGAACGACGACAATGCTCGACATTCAATCCCGCGTCGACAACGAATTGGTTTTTGCCCGTTAACCGAGCTCACCCTACACACCACCCTCTTCCTCTTCCTTTACCGATCCGTAGACCATCCTCTTTCAATGGCATTAGTCAACCATCCGACAAAACTCGAGGACAGATCGATCTTTGCGACGTAGATTCGACTTTAACGCTCGTAAAGCTTCCCTTTCCATATCTTTTTCTATCTTTCTCTTTACAAAGTAAACGCAAATTTGGCCACGTGTTCACCTATCTCAACCTATAGTAGGTACGTGTAATAGTAACAACTTACATCCAAACGCGTTGGTGTGTTTGCGCGAACAAAACGCATACCGTAACAACGAATCGGGTTCCGAGGATGCACTTGACCCTTGGCACAAACCGTGGCTGAACAAATCGATTTCGGTGCGGCACCGCAAACTGGCGCTTCGACTACGCTTGGTAGACATATTCTCGATTCTATCAAGGAGAAGACACACTCACTCCGGAGAAAGGAATGAGCTAGAAAACTGAAATCGATTTCTATTTCTAATGAAATTCGATTTCTTTATTCTAAACTCGAGAAAGATGCTCGTTAACTTAAATTTTTATTTCCCACATTTTTTCATTTCTTTTATATTATAATATATATTCTTAAAATAAATTTAATAACACCTAAACGTTCTACAATCGTCGTAAAGAAAAACTCTGCACAAAAATATTAAGAAATAAATATCGGATATTTATCATTATTAAAAAGTTTAAATTCGCAGAGTTAATTAACTAGGATCAAATTTTATCGAGTGATATGATCGATATAAGAGTTGTAAAAAATGAAAATATTATATATAATAATTTTCAATGTATAATGCACTACAAGCTTAGAGAATTGCCCGAGGCAAGTCACGTACACCTTACCTTCCTCCTTCTCCTCAATTCTCCTTCCCCTTACTCCTCCTTACTCTCTTGTTCCTTCTCCTTTATTTTTACTCTTTCTTTACTTGGAAGCGCGCGCGAACCGAAGGCGTGAACGCATCTCGGACTTTTTTCCGTTCAGCTTTTCAATTCCACCGGGTCTCCCGTACCCTTTCTCTATCTCTCGAAGAAAGAAACGGAAGTCGATCGGATGGAAAAAGTAAAAACCTTTTCGAGGCTCCTTCAAACGCGTCCTAACATCCAAGAATTCTGAACCTAGTTCGATGATTCTCGGATAGTGCTACTACATATATAAACAACTGTGAGAGAGGGTATGATATAAAATAAAAGCAAAAATAAACGGAAAATAAAAAGATAGAGATAGAGAGAGAGAGAGATAAAGAGAGAGAGAGAACAAGAAAGAACTATAGAAATGGTAAGACGAGAAAAGAAAAGAGAGATGTACGTGAGAGAATCCGCGATCACAGCAAAGACGCGTCGATTTATCGCCAAGAAAAGAAACCCCAAAGATTCGAGTGAAGCAACGCCGGAAATGTTTCGCGATAGATGTTTGCCGTAGAAGAGAATGGTTTCATTCTACTTCCGCCAACGAAAGTCCAATCTACGTACACTGGGTGAAAAGGGAAGTAGAAAGAGATAGAAAAGGTAGGGGTTAGATCGAAGGAAGAAGCTTGCGGAGAACGTTACCATTCGTGGAATGTCTCAGCTTGAAAACGCGGTCGTCTACCTCCCCGGAACAAGGACATCCACAGTAATATCTCGGATGAGATTAAACGAAGCTTGCATTCTTCGTTGCACGATGCAATGCGGAAGAACGCTTTCGGTAAATACAATGTTTCTTTCTCTCGACTCCTCCCCACCCCACCCCACTACTCCTCCTTTCCTTTTCTTTCTTTTTCTCAATTTCCACTCTCCCCTACCTCCCTTATATTCTATGCAACGAAAAGTCACCAACAAAGCAATCATCCCTGCCGTTCGAATTTGTTGCTACCATTTCGCGACGTCTATTCTTGCTTCTAAAATCTAAGTCCAATCTTGTTCGAAAACGGTTTCCTACCATCTTCTATATGATATGCACGAGTACTTGTGCATGTGTTTGTAGTTACCTATGTTAAGATAAACGCGCCGAGATAAGCACAGCGTTTCGATGTAACCAACAAGAAAATAATCCTGATATAACCGCTAAACGATACAAACGAAAAATATTATTCCTATCTATTGTAGTTTTAAATGAAAAACTATCATATATTTTCTCTTGAATATTTTTTTCTAATATATCCATAAATAAATAAATATATAGATATAATGTTATTAAAGAGTATATAGTTAATCAAATAGTATATATATGTTATCGTCAAAGCCGGAAATCAGTCATTGCTAGTAATTCATCGGCATTACTATGAATGTAAAGAGTCTTCAAACGAAGTCGGAAATAARAMWWTT